GCTCTTTGTGTCATCCTCAAGAACACAGGCCACATCCTTCAAGACAGGGTCTCAAATTGCTTTGGAGTTTGCCAATTAGGCCAGGCTGCTAGCAAGCAACCCCCAGGGACCACCTCCTTCCTCACAGCTGGAATTACTAGGATACTCCACAGTGCTCAGCATTTTTCACATGGTTTCTGGGCTTGATCTCAGATCTGATGCGGGAGAATTGTCTGTATTCTGTCAATCATGTTTTAAATAAATGCTGATTGCCCAGGCAGGAGGTATAGGTGGGAAAAACAGACAAGGAAGTGGAAATGATGCAAGGAGAGCAGGAGAATTCTGGGGAGGAGGAAGTTGATTCCTCCCACTCCAGCCCAGATCACAGAAGCAGCAGGATGTGAGCTGCCCCACTGAAAAAGGTACTGAGCCACATGGCTAACATAGATCAGAAAAATGGGTTAATCAAGATGTGAGTTAGCCAGTAAGAGGCTAGACCTAATGGGCCAATCAGCTTTATAACTCATAGAGATCTTTGTGTGATTTTTCTCTGGGACTAAATAGCTGGGGGACCAGGCAGGACAGAAACACAAACAAGCAGGCCCTGCATATTACAGATGGCGCCCACGTGGATAACTGCATCCACAAAAAGCCTGAAAGGGCTCGGAAAAGACTAGAGTAAAACATTTCAGTTTTCAGCCGTGGCAAGAAAAAAACTACGCTGTTTTAAAATGCTGGCTTTCTGGGCCGCCTGGCCAGGGAAAACTCTTGACTTTCAAGCAGGCAGTCTGGACTATGGATACAATGTTGCTTTTACAGCTTGCTTCCTGGCAAGGACCTTGAAACACATTAAAAGCTTTTGAGTGTTGTTTTCTCCAAATTCCTTAACAAATTAAAGACCCATGTGGTCAAAAAAAGATATACAGTAAAGAGAGATTCAAAGAGTAAAAAACCTCTAAATGGTTTACGTTGTGTTAAAAATATATACAGGCTAAAGGTTAAAGTTCTCAGAGTGAAAAAAAAAAGAAGAAAAAATGAGTAGCCTGGGAGACAGAGACAGACGAATCTCTGGGAGTTCAAGGATAGCCTGGTTTACAGAGTGAATTCCAGGACAAAGATAAACAGAGAACCTGTCTCAAAAAGCCAAAAGTTAAAAGTAAAAATAAAAGAAATAGAGGTCAAAATAAAGCCACGTAAAGATGAAAAATACACAGAAAATCTTGATACTGTGTGCTATTATGTTCTCTTTGAATTGTTTAAATGCTGAGGAAGGAGCAACAGCTGCTAAAAGATATTTGCTTATAAATCCTACAAAATTAATCCAAGATAGGTATTTTGAAAATACCTTGGCTTCAAAATTGAAGTCAAAAGGTATGTTACTTTGGAGAAGAGATTTTGCTTTTGTTTCCTCAGAAAATGAGAGGCTCTGGATTTATTCAGAGTTAAGAAAAATCATCTTTGACCAAGGGAGAGCATCTGAGCAAACTCCGGTAGGAACAGATGGCCCAGATGTCTAAGTTCTTCATCCAGAACAGGTTCAAGACTGCTGCCTGAGATGATCAAGACTCACAGGATAGTTCAGTCAGGACTTGATCATAACTCTAAGTTTTTCTTTAGGTCCCTATAAGATTATCAGCGCTCCCAACCAGCTGGAAGTAGCCTGGAATACTACGTCCACATTCCCAAAAAATTGGACTATGGATATTTTCCATTATTTTTTTTAAAAAAAGAGGGGGAAGTGGTGCAGGAGAATTGTCTGTATTCTGTCAATCATGTTTTAAATAAATGCTGATTGCCCAGGCAGGAGGTATAGGTAGGAAAAACAGACAGAAAGTGGAAATGATGCAAGGAGAGCAGGAGAATTCTGGGGAGGAGGAAGTTGATTCCTCCCACTCCTGCCCAGATCATCAAAGCAGCAGGATGTGAGCTGCCCCACTGAAAAAGGTACTGAGCTACATGGCTAACATAGATCAGGAAAATGGGTTAACCAAGATGTGAGAGTTAGCCAGTAAGAGGCTAGACCTAATGGGCCAATCAGCTTTATAACTCATAGAGATCTTTATGTGATTTTTCTCTGGGACTAAATAGCTGCGGGGCCGGGCAGGACAGAAACACAAACAAGCAGGCCCTTCATGTTACACAGATCCTCATTAAAGGCTAGTGCCTTACAATGGCACAGCTCCAGCGTTTCTTCAGCCGTTTTTATTTTGATCTGCTTTTTCTTTCTGAGACAAGATCTCATTCCAGGCTGGCCTTACACTTGTTCCCACCTGAGGAGCGTTGAGGCTGGCACCTTCATGACGCTGTCCTGCACAGCTGCTGGGGTCTTCCCACTGTTCACAAATGGAACTGAAGACAGCGCCTTCCCATCTCACGCCAGATCCCAGCAGGTTACTTCCAACGGTGACAACTTTTGAAAACTACAGAACGTTTGTAAGGGAAGAACATCATTCATGATCACACATTTTGATTCCTTCAAACCTTCCTGTTACACTGTCAGTTCATGGACTGACAGCTGCCCGTGTAGATTGCGTTACTGTCCCTAGGACACATACTGCCTGACAGGCTTGACTATGGGTGTGGCCCACTGCAATTGAGTGTACTAAGCATCTGTCACATGTGAGCAGGGGCGGTCTGTGCTTGCAGGCTTTGACTTGGCCTCCTTGCTTCAGCCATAAAGGGCAAAGTCCAAGATTGCTGCTCTTTCAACCTGGCATCCTGAGTAGGACACATCACGATGGCCTGGCCCAGACCCCAGACTTGAGTGTAACCCACAGCCAGCTTGCAACACCAGGGAGGGGTCTGTGGTAACAACTCATTGAGATCTTATGTATTCAAGTACATGTGTACAACAAATTACTACTGTTTGTGTGCGTACACGTGTGCGTGCGTGCTACAGCAATCTCGTGGAAGGCAGAGGATTTTCAGGGATCTACTCTCTCCTTCCACCGTGAGATGCAGGAATCCAACACTGGTCGTCGGGCTTATGTAGCAAGCACCCTTTCCTGCTGAGCCACCTTGCTGGGCCTTATCTATTTATTTACTTATTTTATTTTGACTTTAGGTTTGTGTTTTTTAAGAGTCTCTCATTGGTATAGAGTTTCAGCAATTTGGTTAGGCTGGCCTGCAAGCCTGAGGGATGCAACTGGTTTTTGTGGGGGTTCTGAGGACCAAAGTTGGGTCCTCACGATTAACAGCAGTGTGTTCACTGAGCCAGTTATCCAGCCCAGACATTGAGGTCTTGAGAGCTGTTAGCAGAAGCCATTTTGGCAAGGCCGTCATACACCAAACTGGAGTTACGGTGCTATGTGGCTGTCACACCACAGCACAGCCGACATACACCAAACTGGAGTTACGGTGCTGTGTGGCCATCACCACGGCACAGCCCTGTCTTTTCCACCTGTGACAGCTGATCTGGCGAGAAGTTTGCAGCGCTCACTACACGCATAGCTCGGAGGATGACAGGCTGTCCACATGGCTTTGTACTGAGTACCACCAACCTAATCATCCTTCAGGAGCACCTGCTTATCCATCCCTATAAATTATTAATTTTAAAAATTATTTTGTGTTGGGCTGGAGAGATGGCTCAGTGGTTAAGAGCACCGCCTGCTCATCTAAAGGTCTTGCGTTCAATTCCCAGCAACCACATGGTGGTTCACAACCATCTGTAATGAGATCTGGTGCCCTCTTCTGGCCTGCAGGCACACATGTAGGCAGAATACTGTATACATAATAAATAAATAAATCTATAAAAAATTATTATGTGTATAGGTATTTTATCTGAAAATATGTCTTTGTACCACATGTGCCTGGTGCCTGCAGAGCCCAAACAGTAAGTCGGATCAGATCATCTAGAACTGGAGTTACAGACACCACCTGCGTGCTGAAAATCGAACCCAGGTCCTCTGGAAGTGCAACCAGTTAGATGGCTCTAGCCTGAGTCACCTCTCCAGCCCCCACCTTTATGCCTTACTAGGGTCCAGGCTGTTGCTTTCCAGGTACTTTGTGGGACAGAGTAAAGGGCGGAAGGAATAGTGGGTGCCTGAAGCTCAGGGGAAGTTCACCCAGAAGCCAGCAGCATTCTTTCATGCTTTTGTATCTGACTTCTCAGCTTCCTTCCTGCCTCACACAAGCATCTTGCTCCCACAAGCACCTGCTATGTGCTCCCCATCAGTGTCACAAGGAGCCCCGTCCGCGTAGGAAGCACTCAACCATTGCTGCTCCTGGCTGCCTCTCACATCTGCCGGCTGGTGCAGACCAACTTTGTGGCAGATACGCACAACCCCAGGTAGCATTTCATGTGTTAGCTAACATGTATACAAATGTTAACATGATTTTGAATGATGCTAAAACAGTGAATGCATCCTGTTTGTGTGCATGTGTAAACCCGAAGTGAACATCAGGTGTCTTCCTCTATTGCTCTCTACCTCTTAAAAATTTATGTGTGCAGGTGTTTCTCTTGCACCTGCCTGTGCATCGCTCTTGTCTGTTGCCTGCAGACCAGAAGAGGGCAGTGGATCCCCTCAAACTGCAGCCACAGTTAGGAGCCCCCATGCGAGTGCCAGGAATCAAGCTGTGGTCCCCGACCAACAGCCAATGTTCCAGTGCTGAGCCGCCGCCCCAGCCCCTCCACTTCACCCTAAACTCTGCTTTATGTGTGTGACAGCCAGAGCAGTTTAAGAGTTGGTTCTCTTTTCATCATGTGGGTCCCAGAGATCAAACTTAGTGGCAAGCACCTTTACCTCCTGAGCCATCTCCTGGACACTCCACCAGAACCTGGAACTCGGTGTTTTAGAACGGCTAGCCAAAAAGCTGCAGGGACCCACCCGGCTCCACTGCTCCTATGCTGAGGTCACACAGCTGGTGACTTTCACACTTTCCCAACTACACTATCTCCCCAGTGCTAGGTCACCTTTTTCTTCAAACGGGAGTTACGTAATGGAACCCGGTTTAGGTAATTCTCAGTAAGCTACTAATAAAAAGACACACCTCCATTCTTCTCGGTGATACGAGCACTCCAGTTTAACTTCCAAGTATTTATTTCTTCCCTATGTGAACCTTTTTCTGAGAAGGTCTGGCTTTTGTCCCATTTTTAATTTCCTGGGATGACTCCAGCACCTCAAGAAACACTGTACTCATCTTTAAAAACACCCTAAACATTTGTTCCTTTGTTACTGACAGACCAGAAAGACTGGACCTTACAGTAAGACCTCACCCCATTGGGCACTCTCTCAGCGTTCCAACAGGAATGCTTTACATTATGACAGATCTTAGAAATGGTCAAACACGAGCTGCTTCATTTGGTAGTTCCTTAAGAGATGATGCCACCTGTGAGAAAAAAAGCCAAGGAGGTAAATGACTGTCATATGGCCTGGCACCACATTAGCGCATGCCACCCACTCTCAGGGTGGTGTCCCTTCTCTCGAGGGGCACCATGACAACTCTAAGATAACTCTTGTTGTCTACCACTGACTGCTGACACACTGGACCTTCATTCCAGGTACTGACAGCATCCCACGTCAGGAACACCTCAGCCTCTCATGCAGTCTTTAAGGATAGTTGCAATAAACATGTATCTTCACACAGAAGCTTAAAAAAAATACTTTTAACACAATACAATGGTATTGCCAAGAACTACAATTCAACAGAGAACACTGCTAAAACATTCATATAAATACTAACATGTGCAGAGTTACTCATTAGAAAAGTCGTCTATTAGAATACTAAAGACCTGTACCAGCAAAGTCCAAAGAAAACAACTATTTGAACAGTAGGAACACTAGAAATACCAACTATGAGGGTCATGGAACAGTGGGGGTGAGGATTTGGTACATTTGCCATTATGTCACAATGGACATAGTCTAGAATAAATTTTAGATTAGCAGTGTATAAAAATACTTTTTAAACAATACTTTTGGTAGGCATAAGTAGCGCTTAAAAACAAACAGCTATATAGTTTTCAGGTCTTTTGAAGGCCTAGAAACAATTCAATTTACTGCCTTTGGCTAGCTCTTAAGACACGGACCTGGAAAGCAAGCTCTCTCTCGCACATTACCTACACACACACTGAGACCAACACAGCCTCCTTCCTTGTCTACGGCACACACTGAAGCAAGAGGCTTCCATCTCATGGAGGGTGCAAAATGAGGAGGGCCCATCCCCAATTCCAGGGCTGGATGATCACAGGAAAAAAACAAAGTGGAGCTCACGGGCACATGGTTTCTCTTTCCGCTAAAGGCCCAGCCCGTGAGTTTAGTCTGGCATATCTATGTTTAGCTTGGGGGGAGGCGGAATGTACTTTCCAGGACTCTGCGTTATAACCACCCTGGCCTTCTTTCCGAACATTGGAGCAATTTTCGGAGCTTCTGGAACCGATGCGTCTTCTGCATCTTCACTGTCTTCATGATGGAGATCGTAAGAGATATTCCCATATTCTCTTAAGAACGGGAAGACTTCAAGTAGAAACTGGCAGAAATCCCTGCGAATACCAAACCACCAATGATTGCCCCCTTTCCGCCTAAACGTCGTGGCCATTAAAGTCAGTAATGAGAGCCAAAGGGGGATGAATATGGAAATGTACGAGAACGTATTATGATCATCCAGTCTGTGAACTAGCAGGACCTCAAAGGTGAGCAGGGGTACGACAATCGTGATCCAGCTGATGGCCATGGTCACATGTGTTCTTCGCTGCTCAGCAACCACATCCAGGGACCGCAGAAACAGGAGAGACCACACGATGTAATAGAGAACCACCAGGCAGAGAAACGACATGAGGATCCACAGGGGCACGAACACCACCAGCCACGGCCAGTGGATAATCCTGTCCAGCCTCAGGGCGATGAAGATGAACTGCAGGATATTGACAGAGCACAGGATCTCCAGCTCCAAGGACCTGTCATGTCGGAAGCCCCAGACGCAGGCAGCCACGGACACCGGGGAAACGAAGAAAAGTGGCATGAAGACCAGCAGCCAGAAGTGGGTGCCCCTCTCCACCCTATCGCAGACTAGGATCTCAAACATCAGGAGCAGCAGGTGGATGCCCACGGCAATCAGCATGGCTTTGAACTCCACGCAGGCTTCCCCCTCCGTACGGTAACGAGGGTTGCGGGCCCACACGCCCGCACCCACCGAGGCGCCAACGATGACCAGGAGCTTCCACAGCCAGATGGGGGCGAAGACCGCCCAGTAGCTCCACTGGATGATGCCGTCCAGGCGCAGGGGCAGCAGCACGGAGAAGAGCAGCAAGCAGGCATAGATGAGGAACTTACTGGGATTGAAGTCCTGGAACAGGCCCCTGGGGTTCATGGCGAAGGTTGCACCGCCTCTAGATGGACATCCGCCCGCTGTGCGGAGGGGGCTGCAGACCGCCTCTCCGAGAGGCCGGAACACGTGCGCGCAGTCACGTGGCCCGGCCGGAAGCGAGCCGAGGACACAGCGTGAGCTGGCGGGGGAACGGTGTGGTGCCTACGCCTGAGGCGCTACTCGGACCCGGGAGCCCAGGCTTGGGTGGGTGCCCACGCCGCCCGCCTTCATTCCGCACCTACGTGGCCGACGCCTCGCTGCGTGCGATGTCAGGTGGGACCTGGCGCGCCACGGACTCCGCGACCCTCAGGCCGCTGACTGTGAGCGGCCGAAACCTCCGGAGGACGCTTCCTGGAGGAGGCCGGAACACGGAGGAGGGAATGAGCTCACATCC